TCCATCGCCTTGGAATTTAATCCATCACATGGATCCGTCATGGTTCCCAGTGACAGTCCTTTGATTGCACATGACAAAAGCTTAAGGAGGTCATGCACACCTGTAACCCCCGCAATTATGGGAGGCTGAGGCAGGAGGATCACAAGACCGTAGGCCAGCCCAGGCAACTTACTGAAACCCTTTCTCAAAGTGAGAAACCAAATGGGCTGGGGAACATAGCTTAGTGGTAGAGCACCCCTGGGTTGATCTGTAATTCTTGGAAAAAGAAAAAACTGAATAATTAGTTGGGATTGGTTTGTATGTAACAGATTGCTTTTTTGACATTAGCAACATCTCTTCAGGGGAAAAAAACCCTTATCAGTTATCCAGCTGAGGTTTTACCTTCATTGCTTTATTTCTAGGTCTGCTCTGTGGTTATTCTTACACATTCCTCATAAGTTAGGATCTGTGATCCATCAGCCTCCTTGGAGGAGAACAGAAACCCACTTGAGGCACTTTAGACAGAGATTTAACACAGACAGCTGGTTCCAGCTTTGTTGGAAGGGATGGAGAAGCCGAACATGGAGAGCTGTCCCTGAAGTCAGAGTTTTCAGAAAATTGCTAAGTCCCTGGGGCTGGAGGAACCAAAAGGAAAATGGTGTTGCCATTGTCTCCAAAATACCTGAAATGGCTTCTAGATTCTTGATGATGCTGATAGTACAGTCTAATTTCCAGAGAGTATCTAAAAATGACCACAAAGCAATAAGATAGTGGAAGTAACGCCCAAGCACACCAGCCTCCTAGGCTTCTACTCTGCTGCCTTGGAGACCTGCCTCTGACCTCTGAGCAGACAGCCAGGAGCTGCTGGCCTCACAGACACCTGCAGCCTCTCGGAGCTCCTATTGCTAGACCCAAAGCAGCAGAAAAGAAAAGAAAAGCTTTTCCCTGGTGCATACTTTCTAACCTTCCATGAACGTTTCTCATTAGCAGAACCTAAGTGGAACCAGGCAACAGGGGCTCTGGGAAATGTGGCTCCCAGGCTCCCAGCCCCTGCCATACAGAAGAGCCATAGTAGACCATAGGCACCAGGCAGATACTGGCCAGCACGCAGGCCGGTTACTGAACTCCATCGCCTTGGAATTTAATCCATCACATGGATCCGTCATGGTTCCCAGTGACAGTCCTTGGATTGCACATGACAAAAGCTTAAGGAGGTCATGGCACTTACAGATGCACAAAGACTTCCTGTGTGGGGAACACTGTTTTTGTGGAGGGAAACCAAACACATCCCTGCTCAAGCTGGCATTTTAGTAAGTGATACCAGCCCGGCTCTCCTGGCTGCGGTGGCAGGCCACAGTGAACTCAAAGCAGTCCAGTGACCACAGGGGCTTCTCCCAGAATCCATATCACTCAGGTCTCATGGTCCTTCACAGTGTCCTGAACAGAGACAAGGGTTCCAGAACTATGTACCTTTATATTGACCATCAGATTTAGCCCACCCCAGGGAGGGGTCATAATCTTAAATGACACAGGTCCCCTTGGTGCAGGACAACTGAACAGCAGCCAAGATGCGGGCAGCTGGGGAAATGAGTGCCCCACACTGAGGCCCTCTGAGCAGCACACACAGCATTCACAACCAAGGATAAGGCACCACCACACTCAGACACAGTTGCTGTGCACTCTGAGTAGATGAGCAAGAGAAACTGGCCACCCCTAGCCTGCCACTGCCCACTGTCTTCTGTGTTGCTGCCTGCCAGAGCCTCTGAACAGGTTCTCTGCTGCCACCTGGGCACCAGTACCATCCACTCTCTCTCCTGCAGCCAGAGCCATCTTTGCAAATCTTAGATCACAGGACTTCTTTGCCCAACCCCACTCCACCCTGTGGCTGCTTATTACATTTAGAATCCCCCCAGACCCCTCATCGGCATCCAGACCTAGTGTCGCCTGGTCCTGGCCAGCCTATTCATCTCCCACTCCCCAGCCCTTCCCACTCTCTCCTGTGTGTGCCTYGGCACACCGGCCCTTTCTGTCCCTTGAGCACTTCATGCCCTCTCCTCCCTCAGGGCCTTCACCTGGTTTTTCCCTTTGGTTAGAACATCTCCTTCTTGCTACACAGGACTCAGTGCCCATATCACWTCTTCACGGAGGTCGTTCCCAACTAATTAAGTTAGCTCTCTCTTCCAGCCACCATTTCTATCTCTTTCACAGCCCCCATCACTAACTGAAATGTCTTCCTCATTTATTGACTCACTTGTTCTGTCCATCCCTCCTTATCGAATACAAGCCTCTCCTAGAGCAGGAACCGGATTTGGGCTGGACACTGTGGCACACACCTGTAGTCCCAGTTACTTGGGAGACTGAGTCAGGAGGATCACTGGAGTCCAGGAACTCAAGGCCAGCCTGGGCAACATAGTGAGACCCTGTCTCAAGATAAAAAGTAACTTATCACAGGATAGAAAAATGTTTATGATGTGTGAGAAGACCGCCTTCTAACATGGGAGATATCCGTAGAACACAATTTCTTGAACATCACCCCTTGGACACGAGGACTTCCTTATGCGTTACTTCCTTAAGACTCCTAAGTTGAAAATGTGGTCAGTTCCACAGAGTCTTCAGGCAAATCTTAGCAAGTTGCCCTGCCTGGGTCAGTGGTCCTCTGTCCAGTCAGACACACTCAGGATACGGAATGGACTTCATCAGCAAAATGAAGATGTAGATGCCATGGTAACTCCTTTGCCAAGAAGTCGTGTAACACAATTTCCTCTGAAGGGGGCTTTGGGAGCTTTTTGGCCCTGTCTCTGGTGCAGATCCTTCAGATAACTAATTACCCACAGTGTTTCCCTAAGCTTCTGGTTACCACAGACAGAAATTTCCCCTCCTCCTGTTGGTGGTCAGAACATACAGTGGCTCATGAAGTGGGCATTCAGGCATCCTGGGGTGGTGTTTGAGAGTCGAGGCCACCTTGGATAAGGACCCAATGGCTCACCCCCTTTGCCAGCTGATGTCACGTGGGAGCTGAAAATCTCTTCCCAAGAGTTGGAAAGCTTCCTGGTGTTTCAGCTCTTTTCATTTCCGCTCCCTGCTATTAAAAGTGTTTAAATAAAGATGATTACTGCCATTTACTAAGTGCCTTTTATACCCGAGGAGCTGTGCTAACCATAATTCAGAGATGTTCAGGAACTTGCCTGAGAAGAAACTGAACCCAGGCTTGTGAGATTCAGATGCACCTCCTTCCACAGCACAGCCTGGGAAATTAAGGCGCTTGGAGGAACTGTACTTATTAAAATAGTTTTTGTTAGTTAAGTATGACAGGTCCTTCCTCAATGTGGGCTAATTAGCTTGTTTAAAAGGTAAAGGGAAGAAAAAAACTAAAGGGATATTGTTCCTGGCACTGTTCCCACTCCACTCCAGTGTCATTACCCCTAAGCTGGGACACTGTTCCCTACACTTTTTAATGTAACTAATAAACACTCTGCAGAATGGTCCACATTTTAAACCTGGAAGTCTTTGGAATTCTTAGAAGCGAGGCTGGAGGTTAGAGAAGTAGTAAGATCTATACCTTTATCAGACAAAAAATAAAAGTCCTTGTGGGCACCATTTGCATCCTTCCCACCCAAAGTGGTCCATTTGCATAAAAGTGATCCTTTGGGAAGGTGTTCTGTGATTTTCAATCATCCCTAGAAATAAAATCACAGCTCCTGTCTCACCTTCCCTTGAAGTGTTTTCACACTCCAGGGAATTGCTTACCGTCACCTGAATATAGAATTGGGTGGGTGTTAGTTTCTAACTGATACTACTCACAGCTGTCTTCGGGACTTCAAAAAGGTGCCAAAGTGGCCTTGGGAGGTGTTTCTCCTTCTGAGAACAGGTTGAATGATCTCCTCTGTTCTGAAAGCCCCCAGGTTTCCACCTAAGGGAAGATGCTTCCTGGAGCTTCATCCTGAGAATTAAGTGGGATCTGATATTTTCTGTGCTGTTGCCTCATGATGCAAGTGGATTATGGGGAGAGAAGAGCAGGGTACCTTTAAGGCAGTTTCTTCTAATTTCATAATAATGGAAAGATTTATCTTCAGGAATTTATTTCTGGACCCAAAGCTGCGTGCGATAGTGAAATAGCATGGGTGTTGAAAGGAAACTTGGATTCGAGTCCCAGTCTCACTAATAATAACCTTGTGAAAAGTATATTACCTGCCTGTCTCAGGTTCCTGATCTGTAGGATGGGCATCACCCACTTATCACCTAACCCAGTCATTAAGATGCAATGATGGAACACCTGCCAATTTCCTTTGCAAGACTGCAGAATTTTATGTGGACCATAAACTTGCAAAAAGAGATGACATCTCCCCTTTAAATTCCTGGTGTATTTATCAGGCATATGGAAGCCAGCAAGACAGATGCAGAAAATGACGCTGCCTTTAGCCCCCAAGGTCCCTAATGAGGGCGCTCAGCTGCCTGTGACAGTAGCCAGGTCTTGCTGGCGGGAGAAGCTTAATTTTGTGCTGCACCATAGCCCAGTTATAATTGGAGATGACATCACCGTCCAGGAAGAACTTCCACAGTCTCTGTCCTTAATAAGAAATACTAACCTCCAGCACCCTCCTGGTAGCCAAGCCAAACACCCTCTGCAAACCCCCATGTCTCTCTGGGTGGGCACAGGGCCAGCCTCCAAAGGCCTCACCTCAGCTTCCATCCTCCTTGGAAAACCTGTCCCCAAGATAACACAGGACACGTAGGTGTTTGACAAATAGTCACAATGATAATGATGATTCTTATCTCTACTTTAATTCACATGTGGTAGTTCTGTTATTGATTTTGTGCTCCTCACGAATTAACCAGATAAAGTCACAACTAATTTAAAAATAATGAGTTTGATTTTGCATCTGGGGTCCAATGGGAGTCTGTTTTTCTCCAATATTAATAATCGCATTGTACAGTTAACAAATTGCAGTGAGTTCGGCAGCGTCTGGGCTAATGTGGCATTTCTCTTTTATTCTCATTTTTTTGTTTTGTTTTGTTTTTAGGGTCAAGTTGTGTTCCGGAACGGGGAGAGAATGGGGACCATTAAATTTACTCAATTTCAAGGTAGGCTTTTTTTTGGATGCTTCTGTCTTTCTAGTTGATGGCATTTGTATTCAGGGATGTTGTTTTCTGCAGTAAAATACATCAAAAGAAATGAAAGTATGATATGAGACTACAATAAAACAAGGAGGAGTCAATAGAAGACACTCTTCTGAAATGTCAGTTTTGACTCATGTTGAATTACTTCTCAGGCCTCTGGTCTGAGAGGCTTAGGAAAGTCACTAGTGGTGCTTATATCCACACACGATGCTGGGAGCCTAGATTTGGTTTTGGTTTTGATTACACAAGTGTCCAACCGACTCCACTATAGAGAGACTAGCGCCATGAGCCATCTCCACCACTGGCCTTAAACGACGTCACACATCCCCAACCTCGAATCTTGTTTTATCTTGACTCATCCCCACCCCACCCCCACTTTCAGCTGTCATATTTTAAAGCAACTCCTAGACGTTATCTCATTTCAATCTATAAATACTTCAATAGCTGTTTCTACTAGATAAGGACGTTTTAAAACATAACCAGCCTGCTATTGCTGTACCTAAAACATTTAACAACAATTCTTCATGTGCTTTCATTCCCAGTCTGTGGGCTAATCATTTCAAAGCTGTCTTTACTGATCATTTGCGGAAAATCCATAGGAGGTCCGACTTCGGCCAGGGTTCAATGTGTCTCTTTAGTCTCTGCTGTTAAAACCCCCACTCTTTACAGGCCACTAATTTTTTGAAGAAGCCACTTCATCTGTTGGGCTTTTTCTGCTGCTGTCAGAGTTGAAAGGGGCCTCAGAAACCACCTAGGCCAAGTTCCTTGTGTGATGAGGAAGAAACAGGCTCAGAGAGGGACAGTGACCTGTCAGAGTCCACAGGACATATGTGAGGAGCAGGGCTGGGTGTCCCTCAAGGCAGATGCTTTGGTTCGGCCCCATGTGGTCATTAGCAATGTTGTCAGATGAAACCACCGGAGGGACCTTTCATTGCTGCAGTATCTTTCAGCATCTTGATGTTTCTGGAAAGTCCAAAAACAAGAACAGCACCCGCCACATTCCCCTCCCTTTAAGCAGATCCCAGGGCCATCCCAGGGAAAGCAAGAAGTTGAAGTGAGTTATTCAGAATCATTCAGACATATCCCACCAAGCTTCTGATCAATCGGAAGAGGTGTTTTTCAGCACTTTCACTTCGTAATGCCATCTCCTAGATTAACCCATTCTTCCCATGTCAGGTAATTGAAAAGCATGTCAGCTCTCTGATGTGCCCAAAAGATGTCATTTTGTGGCTGGGGATATAGCTCAGTTGGTAGAGTGCTTGCCTCACATGCACAAGGCCATGAGCTCAATTCCCAGCCCCCCCCCCCACACACACACACAAAGTCATTTTGGGCAAATATAATTATTTTCCCATTTATTAAATCTTCCTCCTTCCTTGGTTGAGCAAATAAGCATCCTGGCAAAAATAAGGTTTTTTTTTTTGTTTTGTTTTTTGTTTTGTACTCTCTAGAATATCCAGCAAGTGACTTCGCCTCTGTGAGCCTTGATGGTCCTTATCTGTAAAACAGGGCTATCATCCTACCTGATTTCTTGGAATGTGGAAAGAACTAAATGARATAGTACAGATAAATATATTTTTTAGTTTTTTGCTCAGCTAGTAAGTAGCAATTACGATAAGTATCTTGTCAAAATTATGACACTTTTGGGGGAGGGGCAAATGTAGATTTTCCTTGTGCATTGACACCTGAGTGCCTTTGTGTTGGCCATCTGCCTAAGCTAGCTAGCTAGCTGCTGCCTTGGTGTAATAATATGTAGGGCGTCAGACAAGGCAGGGCCTTAAAGATGAGCTTATCCCACTACTTTCATAGCGTAAATGGGGAAAGTGACATGTGGGGAAATGTTCCCCAGAGTCATGTGACTGGCTAGTGGCAGAGTAAAGCCTGGACTTGAGCTTTCCCCAGGATGCTGGCACCTGCATGCTTTTGTGGACACCCATGGGTATATGCTCCTTCCCTCTGTATCAGGGATTGGACCCAGGGGTACTTAACCACTGAGCCACATCCCCAGCTCTGTTTTGTATTTTATTTATAGACAGAGTCTCACTGAGTTGCTTAGTACTTCGATAAATTGCTGAGGCTGGCTTTGAACTCGCCATCCTTCTGCCTCAGCCTCCTGAGCTGCTGGGATTACAGGCATGCACCACCACGCCCCACCTTCCCTTCCTTCTTGCCTAGCTATTACTGAATGTCACAGCTAGGCCTGAAGAAACTCCTGTTGCCTGTTGAACAGATGTTGATCCTGTTGACCTGATAGAAGGATCAAAGGTTATTTGGGGACTTAAAGGAGCCACACTAGAAGGCAGGGGGCAGGTGTGCATCAGCACAATGGTTTTTCCAAATTTGAAGGGTCTCAGAGGTGTCTCGTCCCCCAGGATGGAAGGACTCTTAGTTGTTGGATGCTCTGGCCAAGCTGGAAAAGCTCTTAGTTACCATTTCAATTTCAGAGGGGAAACTGAGGTCCAGGTCCAGGAAGGGACTTGACTAGGATAATCCCTGACTCACATGAGACCACAAGTTCATTCCTTCCTCTTTCCTGGCCATGCCTCTCCCTCCCCTCCAAAAGGGATTGATCTAGCCTCTGTCTTCTGGAACCTTCCAGAAGGTGGTGGGCTCATCCTCCACCCCAAAGTAACAGCTCCTAAATTGCCTCATGCCAGTGACCTTGCCAAAGGCTTCCGTGTGGGGTCGCTATGTTTCCTGCTAGGCCCTTYCCACCCTCTCTCTKCTGTCTCCCCCTCCCTGGCCTCCTGCTCTCCTCTCTGATACAGAAGGGTCTGGTGGCAGAGCTGACAAGGAGCAGCCTCTCAGCTGGCCCCAGCAGTGGCAGCTCTCCATCCATTCCTGCTCCTCAGCTTGCACTTGACTCTCAAGCACTCACTAGTGACATCCAGGAAGCTGACCCAGTCTACCCTTCCTCTGAAGACCTCATGAGATACTTTATTGACTTCTCATTGGCACAAACTCTGGGTGCCTTCTACACCCTTTAATCTCTAGTAGAGGAAGTGCTTGGTAGGAGGCTTTCCTCCCCACTCTGCAAAACTAAAACATAAAGGAATTAAAAATGTGGAAGCAGCTTTGGAAAGATCCAAAAGGGAACCAAGAAGCCAGGTCCTTCTCCACCTTTTGATTCCAGGGTTGTAGGATTGGCACCACAGTCCCTTGCACCCACAGTAGAGCCCCAGCAAAGCTCACTGAATTCATTTGGCTGCAAAAGCCCTGGGTTCAAGTTCTTTCTCTGAATCTCGCTAGTAGCATGATCCCACTGGGCAGGTTATTTTATATCCCTGAGCCTCCCTTTCCTCTTCCAAAAAATGGGGAAACACTAGGGCCAGCTCTGCCTGCCTCTGAGAATGTCATCAGGGGAGAGTAAGGGCTTGCTTTAGGGACTCTCGAGCTCAGGGAAGCCATGTCACATTGCTAGTGGACTGTGGCTCTGCTTTGTGTCTGCTGAATCCATTAGTGAGAGTGTGAACCCAGAGCTTGAGACGTCACCAGCTCATGGAAATGTAAGAACGGCTTCACGTATTTGTGGTCTTCATTGACTTCGTCAGGTAAGGACTTCTGGTGCCCCAAGAGGCCTTAACAACAGGAACATGAGCTGAAGCCAGTTCCTGTTGCCAGCCATTGTTGTTCCAGGTGGGACAAACCTCCTCCTCTGCCCAGTTTTTTGTTTTTGTTTTTGTTTTAAATAAAAACTGAGGAGTTCCAGATAAATAGAACTGTTGTCAATAACATGCCAGGGCTAGCTCCCAGATTCCTCTTTGGGCTGAGGCATTTTGAATCCCAACAGGTCTCCGTCTGCTTAGTTTTCAAGGCTTCCAGAGCCCTTACCTCCCATCAGGACAATCTTGGGGAGCAGGTATGGGGGAGGCCATCACTAAGAATATCCACAACTCTCCACCTGTGGGGGGAGCAGGCAGGTTGTTCAAGGAGTCGGTGATCCCAGGACAGCCCTGAGCCCATGACAAAGGAGAAGTGGGAATAGTGCCCCAGCATCCTGTCCCTTCAGGTGAGGCTTCTCCAACAYACTTCTCCCAGGGGTTGCCCCATGGCACCAAGCCTCAACTGCCCACRCAGAAACCTTCCCATACATGGACCTGATACAGACCCCCTTCTCTCCTCTGGCTCACTCCCCATGCCCTAGCAGGGGATCCAAGGGTCACCTCCCCAGGAAAGTGTTCATATTCTTACCCTCATCTGAGAGAGACACTGTTCCAAGGGAGCTGCCCAATACTGCAGGGGAGGCTGGGGTGACGTTCGTGTCATATGTAGGTGCACACCTTGGACCTGCACCCATTTCCTGTCCAGGTCCAATACCCCTCCCCAGGCCGTTCCTCCTTCCCACTGAGCCACCTGAAGATGAGAATGAATGTTAGAAAATCGCCTATTTTTTTTCCTCCGTAAGAGAAAAAAGAATCCCCATTACTACTGAAGTCTAAACATGGCTCAGAATCTGCAGCAGGGGAGGGAGCTGAAAGGAACAGTGATCGGGGCCCATCCATGCTATTCAGAGAGGCCCCAGCATCTGCAGCTGAGCGTCCCGCTGCCTGCATTAGGCCTATCTGTGAGAATCTCTCTGMGAGAGATAATGGGCCGAGATCTCACATAGCTTCTGAGCTACAAAAAGAACTCAGACTTGGGGTTTTGTATCTCGGCACCTGATTTGAAGGGACCAGGTCCCGCATCCCTGGAATGACATAATTGTCATTCAGAATGTACCTAGTGAACTCGAGGCGCCTTCTTTCCATTTGCAGACATTAATTATGGTTCGATCTTTAGGGTAACAGATACGGTTCTATTCAGCACGCGTTTCCTGAGCATCTGCCGGGCGCTTTACAGAGTCCTCTGGGAAAGCTAAGTTGAATAAGATACAGTCCCTGTCCCCCAGGGGCTTCATAATCTCTCTGGCCAAATGCCAGAGCCCATAAAGGCAGGAAGATAATTTCCCAGAACCTTCTAGAAAA